CACACACACACACACACACACACACACACCGCAGATATCCGCAGTTGGACATGTGGCCTGCAGAAAAGAAGAGTGCAGAGACATGAGAGCTATTTTCCAGTATATGAAGATGGGGTAGAATTGTTCAGAGCTGTTCCAGAAGACAAGACCACAAATGCAGAATTTACACTCCAAAGAAGCAGATTTTGGTTGGCCACTAGAAATAAAATCCTAACAATAAGAGTGGTATAACAGTGAAACAGGCTGCCTCGGCGGCTCTGGTGGATGGTCTTTTGATGGAGGTGTTTCAATAGAGGCCAGGGGCAACCGCAAAGGGTTCAAAAAAGTCAAGGTGACCTCCACAACCACATCACTCAAATGCCATCTCTTTTTACATGCAACAGACATAAAAAAGGGACAGGGAACCAAATCCATATTCTAGATTTGCTTCTTAATAATGGTTTTGATATGCTCAATTAATATCAGGCCTGATTTGCAGTACGAATTTAACATTACTTCAAAAATTTGTATTCACTTTTATACAGCTTAAAAATCTCTTTTCTTTTGGCTCTTTAATTCCTCCTGCTCTTTGTCTTGTTTTGTGCTTTCAGATAACTATTACATTTAAATTTTTAAAAATTCAATGTAAAATAAAAAGGAATTCAGAGAGAAGAAACGGGGGGCAGGAGTCAGTTGTGCGGTTGTCTAATGGTCTGTGGGAATGATCTTGGGAGAGAGGAGGAAGAGCCACAGCCTAGACCATGGTCTGATAAATGAAATTTGAGTCCAAAGGAGGGGAGGGATTGAAGAAGGTGTCTCAGAAGGGACTCTCCCTAGTTTTTGGGAAAGTAAAAATAAGGGAGGGGAGAGGTGCTGTCAGACTTGCAAGATTCTGTTACTGTAATAACAATAAAGGTACTGTTAATACTCATGGTTGGTGCTTCTTGTCTGCCTCAAAGGGCAGGCAGATTGCATACACCATCTTGACTTTTTTGATCTGGGAGACTTAACAGGCTTGCAAGATTCTGTTAATGTAGCTTTACAATAAAGTAGAATTAGCTCATCTGGTCATGTCTCCTGTCTGGTCTACCAGGGAAAGCTGATATCAATCTTGCAAGTCTGAAATTACAAATCTCCCGCTGCCTCCTTTACAATCTGAGAAACTAGGGAGGGTCCCTTCTGAGCCTCTTTCTCCGCCCATTATGCAGCTGCGGGCTATGCTTTCTCTTACCCGACCGTTCCCTAGGCAGCATCTCTTCACCCCATCTCCCAAGGTCTTTCCCACAAACCATTACACAGCCCTTACATTCCATGATAACCAAGTAAAAAAGTTAACCTCTTGTATAAAATAGCTCAAATGCCTGCCTCAGTAACAGGACTGGATTGTCCATCATCCTGGGCAGTTACTTGTTATTTTTAGTTCTTATTTTAACAAGATCCTTCATTTGCTTTTTCTCTCTGATTTTCCCCCTTTTTCTTCCAAACCTTCACTGTGCCACAGTCACATTGCTCTCCATCTTCTACCACTCGGTTGCCACAGAGGGGGGCTCGGTAGGAGATATCAATCTGTGGTTTGTTCAGAAGACATTGAGACAATGCAGAGTTGAGGAAATTCTGGAAATCTTTGATGCTGCAGCTGCTGAAGGTCTTGATGCCACTGGACTGTCTGCAAGGGCAAAACACAGCTCTGAATAGACTTGGGTGGCACTGAAAGGAAAACCAGTACATCATGACCACTGGACTAGCTGACGTTTAGCACTCAGTGGGTTTGAAACAGGAGACACAACCCACGGCTACATAGACAAGACTCAGGCTGATATATCTTCTCATCTTCTATGACAGCCCAGGGAAATGGGAGGGTTTTCTAAGCAAACTATGCTTATTCATTGGCCAGCTTCTGATATCATGACAAACCATGTGGTAGTGGCGACAGTGAGGTGGAAAGAAGATAAATGCTGAGAAAGAGAAGGAAGCATGTGGAGGAGAGAGAGAAAGAGAAGAGATGGCTGAATGTAGGAAATGGCTGCTTAAACACCACACTGTTGGGTTCTCCTTGTGGTTCATCCCACACTCCCTCCCTGTTCATAGCTTTTTATGCACCCTGGCATAAAAAAACTGTTCCCCATCCCTCATTTTGCCAGGCCAGGGACTCTTTCTCATGGCCACATTAATATGCATTCTTCTGGTCCTTGAGTCAGCAGAAAAATGTGTTGATCTGCCTCAGGAACATGTGTACAATTTGCCTCAAAAGTGTGTAATTTGTGTTGATCTGCCTCAGGAACACATGGTCCTGTCCACATGGTCCTGTCCACTCGTTTCCTTCAGGACAATTTAAGGGCAGTGATTGGTGGATTCCCCTAATTTATGTCCCCTTTCACCTACCATCTCCAGCTTACAAGAAAGCCCACAATTAATTGTTCTCCTTAAAGTGTGTGGGACAAGCTTGGGTAATTTGTTTGAATGATGGGTGGCCATGATGGCAGTGCTCACGACCAGTAACCTGTCACTCTAGCTATTTCTAAGCACAGTTCTACTCATCTTCTGGACCCGTGTCCCAAAAGTACTCCAGATGACAGCTTGACTGGGTGGAGGAGGGTTGCAGGATGAAAAAGGAAAGTGTTCATATAGCACATTCAGAGACCTCCCTTCCACTTCATCATGGACCCATCCATCATATAGAACACTCATTTGGGACAAAGCCAGTGAAATATCTCTTTCCCAATTTAAACTGACCAGCATACTTACTAGATTTTGAAAAACATGTGAATGCATGATTCAGAACAGATATTGCTGTGTTTCAGAAGACCAGTAATCTGTGTAACATTTGAATGGTATTCTGCAAATTGTGGGTCAGGCCTTGCACAAACTAGATGTCTGGTCTCCCCTGCTGCCTAAGCCAAAATAGCTATGGAAGGCAGTGACAGTGACCAGAGAGGTGTGCCCACAGGAGCCTCAACCAGTCAACTGGCAGACTACACACAGAGAAATTTAGCATACTCTATAACTCCATCTGTGATACAGCTCCTCTCCTTTATGACCAACTGCCAAATATTTGGTGTTGGGACAGCTCCAAGTTAGGGGTAGAAGGCTGGGTGTCTTCAACAATCCCCAAAGGCTAGTTTTAGCACCATCTGCTCAAGGATAAATGGAAACTGTTCACTTCCATAGGAGAGTCACCAACATCAACTTAATTGGATTGGTGCTACTTAGGATTTCAAAAGTCCACCACCACACCACTTGATCCTTGACCCCAGGTTGATGGTAAAACAACAAATGTTATATAGGCTTACCCTGCTTTGGTATTCATCAAGCAGATTGTCCCCGAACAGTGGCATTTTCTGTAGTCATCAAAATACAGTCCCACACTAAACCCCAGCAACTGTGCCACTATAACTGAGAAGGTTTCCAGTGTCATCCCATTGTGAAACTAAGAAAAAGCAGAAATCCATTAAAAGCAGTAATAGCGAACTACGAAACGCTCACATTCTAGTTCTGATGAGTCTTTAAGGATCTTGGAAACATCTTGGAACTTATAACCTGAAAAGCTTTGTTCAGAAGTTTATCTGCCCACGGGACAGACATAGACCCTGTTTTAACCATTGTATTTTCAAGAAGTTTCTAAGTATTTCAAGCTTCGTTCTTGCTGCTGCTGCTGCTGCTGCTGCTGCTGCTGTTGTTGTGATAAAGAGAAAAAGAATCTGAAAAGTACATATATATTTCACAATAGAATAGAATAGTCCTTTATTTTGGTCATTGGCCAGCCAAATTTACATTCAGTGCTAAAATTAAAGTCACTCCATTATGCCAGTAATTTAACATGCATACTATAAGAATGACTGGGGTTTAAGGTGCTAGCATAAATATAGAAATATGGTGCCAATACCACTAAGGATGGATGGATGGATGGATGGATGGATGGATGGATGGATGGATGGGGAGAGAGAGAGA